GTTGGTAATCTAGTGGGTGTGTAATCTTGATTTATGTTTAATTTTGGATTTTGTATGATATTTATATTTTTTATAATTATTCAAGAAGTTGGTTTGGTTATTTTTATAAAACATAAATATTGAATTGAGCAAATAAAAATACAAAATGGTAAAATGATCATTTTTAAAATTAGCACAACAATTCAAATGATTACAACCAAAACATGTTAAAATTCAGATCCTATTAGAAATTCAGATTTATTAAAAATTCATATCTTACCAAACATCCCCTAAATGTAAAGTTCTGACTTCAAGTTTTCAATAATAAAAAATAAAAAATAATATAAATACTTCAATAGTATCCATATTTTGAAAGTATTTATTGGTATAATTTATTTATATTTTATTATGTATTTTACGATAGGTTAAACAAATTTAAGTTTTTTATATGAAATAATAAAATAAAACAAAATATATTATTTAGAAGAACTAAGAATTTAAAGATGACCGATAGAAAAGCAAAACAGAAAACTTTCAAATTTCATATTTTATAAAATCAAAAATAAAAACTAATTTTTTTAACGGCAAATAAATATATATATATCTTCTATAGATTAGAATTTTCATGTTAACAAAATGGGTTAGTCTCAACTTGTAAATAATAAAAACTAACTAGCAGAGCAAACTCAAGGACCAATCCATTTATGTGACTTAATACAACAAAAATAAAAAAAATCAAAAATCAAAACCGAATAATTTCTAAATAAATGAGCACAAAAATTAAAACAAATTAAAGCTAGATAATTTCTAAATAAATGAGCAAAGTTTATTTAACTTGTAACTTTTGGCAATTGCAATTGAATTAAGCCATTTTTGCAAATGGATGCTTTATAAATAAAAGAAAAAAAAAATTAGGTACTATTTAGGGGAAATGATGTATAGGCCCTATAATGTTTCTAGGGTTGACCCATTTAGCCACTTAATTTATTTTGTGGCTTAATAAGGGATCGAATTATTTGTTACCTAACAATATAGTCCCTTTTACCTATTGTAGTCGGTTAACGTTGCCACATAAACCTAGCCTAACACGTAACCGATGACATGGAAAGAAGTTAAATCGTCCAACAAAGCATACAACGTCGTATTGAAGGCGAATCGTAAGGAGCAAGGATCGACAGTTGTAGCGCCTACATATAAAATGAAGACTTCCTTGACCTAAAAGAGCACATCTGCAAACATCATTACCCCAATCTCGTCTCTAACTTTACTCCAAAATGGCTTCGAGCGGACGTGCAGAACACAGCTGGTCTCCAAATTACGCCCGTCACATGGATGAGAATCATTCGAATGGTGTAACCAATGAAGACATGGCCATCAATCTACTGCAAACCCAGATGGAACTGTCGCTTATGTGGGAGGACTTCCAAGACTAGTTGCGTGAGCTTCGTCAGGCAGTTAATCGACACTTAGATTGTAACGCCCGTAGATCCGGGCTAGTCAATTTAGAGATAATAAGGGTCGAAAATGACTTTTCGACAAAATATTATTTAGAATAAATAATTTGAACCAAGTTGAAGTATATGTCACAAGGTGTCCGTACATATAAAGAACGCTGAAATCCGAGTTATAACGAAGAAGTTATGACTCGTCGAAGTTTCGCGACGGAACCGGCACGACACCGGGAAGCGTAAAAAGTGAATTTACGATAGAGAGAGGTTTAGCCTTAGTGATCTAAAATAAAGTCGTAGAATATGTTAAACCAAGAAAATACATAAAAAGAACGCCCAAATCTGACTTCGTATGAAGAAGTTATGATTTTTCTAAGATTCGGCTTAGCAATGTACAGCCCGAAACTCGAATTTTAGTTCGAGCGGTTTTTGGCTTATGCAACCTAAATGAGAGTTGAAGATCTCATTAATAGGAACTCAACGGTATAAAGACAGACGAAAACGGAGTCCGTATGAAGGAGTTACGAATTCTTCGCGGTCATTTAATAGTCTAAACGCCTCGTACTGTTAAATTTAAGATCGGTCGAGAATTAGCCGACGGAGTCAAAATGAAAGTTGTAGATATTATTTTTACCTACGCGTGGATATAAAGAACGTCAAAAAAGGAGGTTGTATGTGAAAGTTACGGATTTTAGAAGTCATAATCTTGGCCATTGCTTTCTCCCCAAGTCTTGCCACTAGATGGTGACATGTGGAACCAAGTTTAGCCATTTTCACCCTATAAATACCACCTCTCACACCCTCATTTTCTTCACACCTTTCCCATTCTTTCTTCTCTTTACTCTCTCTCTAGAACCTCTCTCTAGCCCCGAAATCCCCCGAAAAGCCTAGGGAACCTCCCTAGCACGAGGCGGAAGCCCCGGAGTGCTTGACGGCTCCGAGAAGAAGAGCTTTTCGGCTCAGAAACGCTGCTCCAAGCAAAGCCTGGTTTTCTATAAAATCCGCTGTAAGTGAGCTACGCCTACGCTATTTTTAATATAGTTTTTATTTAATTATATTAACGTTATTAAGAACATATAATAAATACTTGGGCTATTATTATGGGTTATATAAGTATTTTTTTAACGCTTATATAATAGTAATAATAGCTAGACTATTAATTAGTCTCGGCGAATAATAGACTAAAATCTATTGGTGATAATACTAGGTTTCGTCGAAGGAAATTATTTTAAAGTAAACGAAGCGTTGTACGAGTACCGAGTCACCACCTTTTCAGGTGAGTGCATGGTCCCTTTCATCTTACACATAGATATGAAGTATTTATTATATAATTTACGTGTTGTGAGTGCATGGTCCCTTTCATCTTATACATAGATATGAAGTATTTATTATATAATTTACGTGTTGTGAGTGCATAGTCCCTTTCATCTTACACATAGATATGAAGTATTTTAATATAAATTACGTGCTATGTGTACATATTGTCTGAATACTTGCTGTCTATGCTGAGTGAAAGATTTTTATACATGTTTTAAATGATTTAAACTGTATACGTATTTTATATCTACAAAACGTGTTGGGAAAAACATGGGTAGATGAAATAGTTGTTTTGTGATAACACGATGGGAGACATCAGTGTTTTCAGTGATCCAGTCATCTAGTGGAGTATAGATGACGACTATGGACGATACTAGACGGTCCAGTGGAACGATAGCAGTTTCGTAACATGTAGGTATTTTTGAACTAGGTGCTCATTAGGTATTTTTGAACTGAGTATGTTCACTACGTATCTTTTAACTGAGTGTGTTCACTAGGTATTTTGAACTAAGTGTGTTCACTAGTTACTTTTGAACTAAGTGTTTACCAGATGTTTTGGACTACGTGTTCACCAGATATATTCTATAAGCCTTGGTAATGATGGACTTCGTGTCGATTCCTTAGGATGATCCTTAGGAATAAATAAACCAGGAATAGCTGACTCTTAGGGTAGATCCTTAAGACTAAAGAAGATAATGGGGATGGGTAATTGGGTTGATTGTTTGATTGTTTAAATATAATAATTATATTATTGTGGGTTGAAAACCCTATGTACTCACCAGGTTTCCCAACCTGATCCACTCAGTTTATTCATATCACAGGTGTTGATACGAAGTCACTTTACACTGAGAGATTTAAAGAGATGTAGATCACTAGTATAAATAAATGTAAGTTCTATTTATGCTTATGTTCATGTATTGACGATGACATCCCAAACGTTTTAAAATGAATAAAGTACGTTTCTTCGGAAATGTTTTAATAACGTATTTATCATGTTTTTCTAGGAACAAATTCCGCAACATTTTTATTAAAAGAAGAACTCTGATTTTTATAAAGCATAAACAAAATCGGTCTTTTCTGGCCGTGAAAATGGGGATGTCACATAGATGCCATGAACCTTGAGGTCGATGACGTTCACGCTGGTCAGATGGATATCTCAAATATGGTTGCTCGTCTTAAAAATCATGTCGTTTCTCTGCAAGGAGCATATGTGAAGATGGTCTTCAAAAACAACAAACGTAAGAAGCTGATGTCTTGTGTTGGGATTTTTGGTGTTGTTTGTGCGTCTGTGGTGACGTATTTGGTGTTTAAGTAAAAAAATGTTGTTTAGGTTGAAGCATTTCACTCCTGGGTTTGTGTTTTGGTGTGTTGCGTATGTTGTTTAGTGTCAATAATAGTAGTAGATTTTGTGTGGGTTGTTGGTATTAGTTTGTGATGTTGGTCTGTAGATTTGGTGGTGCTGTTGTTGGGCTGCTGATTGTGATCGTTTTTTGACGAAGTTTTTTGTCGATGATCTCTGTAATAGGTTATTGAATAGCAGAAACCGATGTAAACAAACCCATGAGTGAAATGTGTTTTAATGTTATTATTAAAAAAATTGCCTTTCACTTGTATCTGTATGTGTGCATGCAAGAAATTGCCTTTCACATATGTTTCATTGACTGGGAAGAGACCACAACACAAAGCAAAATGAATTTAACTTCTTTAAGCGCATAGACAGGGACCACAAATGGTGTAGTTTGGGAAAAGGGACAAAAAATACCTTTGCACATGATTGAACCATATCTGCTTGTCATGTTGAATGGATTAAGTCACAAGTCCCCTGTTTTTTACAATGACTTAATTACCCCTGCATGAAAAATGGTCAGTTTACTTTGTAATGACTTAATTACCCCTGCATCCAAAATGGCCAATTTACTTTGTAATGACTTAATTACCCCCACATCCAAAAATGGTTTTAATTTCTAATGAATAAAAGGGCACCACATCCAAAATGATAAATTTAATTTCTAGTGACTAAAATGCCCCCAATCAAAATGGTCAATTTAATTTCTAATGACTAAAATGCCCCCACAACCAAAATGGTAAATTTAAATAGTAATAACTCAAATACCCCCACATCATAAATGATCAATTTACATTGTTTTGGTTATAATAACCAAAATACCCCTAAATATTCGTAGTACACCATAAAATAACATACAAAGATCATTTGTTTACTGCAACACACATTCACTACAAATAACAAACAATTACTTAATCCAAGTCCATGGTCGTTGCAAAACTGCTACCTTCACCTCCCACATTTTTTGCAAGCTTCAGTTTAATGATTCGTTCTGACTTCTTTCGCATTATAGGTGGTTTAGCATGCTTAACTCGAGCATTGACATTCACCCCTTCTTCCCGTCCATTGACTCCCACCATTCGCTCTTCATCTCTAGGCCTATCCAAAGCATCAGTAGCATCTACGATTACCTCATCATCCCCTAATCATGTGGCAACGTTTACAGACTCCTGCATAGGTATAGTTTTTTGTTTCTTTGTTCCATTTTGTTTGGATGTTCCTACACCTTTACTACAAGTAGCCTTGTTGTGTCCTTTCTCCTTGCATATGCTGCAAGAAACTTTCTTCCCTGCCTTGCAGGCGGTATGTTTTCCCATCCGTTCAGAAGCATCTCTTCTTCTCTTTATGGTTGGCCTTCCTAGCATACGTCTTTTCAATGGAGGCAAAGGGGGTATCAAGTCAGTAGAAGGCCACATATTTTGTCCATTCATCCCATGGATTGGTTGTTTGTAAGTATTATGGTATAATGCAGCCAGGTACATTGGATCTAGATATGGACCGTTAGGTGTCAAATTTAAGTAGGCTAAGGTGGCAACTGAGTGTACGCAGCCATATCCATTAAGTTGCCATAGCCTGCAGCTGTATTCCTTTTTTTCAACATCCACAGTAAACGCCTCGTCCATTTTCCTTGCCTCAAACTTCATCCCCCCACAAGAAATGACATGCCAATGCCTACATATATAGATGAAAACCGCAAATATTAGGAGATGTGAAGAGTAAAGTACTAATGTTATTGATAAATGTACAAACCTTTGCTCAATTTGGAGCATATTTAACCGTATTCTGATATTTGGACAAACAGAATAAGCATTTCATCCTTGTCCGGTTAGTTTCATAGTCATCATACTTTGCATCACATATATACGAATGTCCTCTGACATGCTTATTATTGGTTTCTTCCGGGCATCCAAAATCACACTATTAAAACTCTCTGAAAAACCATTCTCTACTGACTCACAAGAATTATGAACTCTGAAAAAAAAACCAAAGACCAAGTCTTTGGATCTCTAGCCATAAGATGCACAACTGCTTCAGGATTTAATTTTCCAATCTCTTTCATAACTACATTAAATTGTGCTTCAGTTGTTGCCTTGCTCGCTTTCCAAAACAGATTTTCAAAATTGGATCCACTAAATGTCTTTCTAAAATTCGCATAGATATGTCTAGCACACTGCCTATGTTCAGCTGCTGGAAATACTTCCTTTACTGCCTCAATCAAACCCTACATAAGTCACATTAATGTTTGAAATTCGAATAGCAATAACTAAATTTAGAACATGCAATAGTTTTGAACCATACCTTGTGTTGATCCGAAATTAGAACCAAACCGTTACCATCATTCCAACATTGCAAATCTTCTGAAAGAGTTTCTAAGAACCATTTCCAATTCTCTTTGTTTTCCACAGAAACAACTGCCCAAGCAATTGGGAATATTCCATTGTTAGCATCTCTACCCACAGCACAAAGCAACTCCCCTTGACAAAAAGTTTTTAGAAAACAACCATCCAGGTTAATGATCCTCCTACATCCTCCCCTCCATCCCTCTTTTACTGAAGCAAAATATAAGTATATTTTGCTGAAATAATTCTTACCATCAGGCATTGAATCAACACAAATTTTAACTGTGGATCCAGGATTTGATCTTCTAATCTCCTCACCATATGACCATAATTTTGCATAATTCTCAGCCATTGTCCCTTCAACTAGACTCAATGCATACTTATTAGCTATCCTACACTGACTCATACTCACGTTAATCCCAAAATCTGTTTTTACCTCCTCTCTAAGCATTCGGACGCTCATATTTTGATTGTTATAAAATTGGTGCTTAAAGTGGGTCCCTATCCATTTGTAAGTCACAATTGATCCGAATTTGAAATTCTTTGCACAATTATGCTCACCAATAAGAGATTTTATCTGGAAAGACTTATCTTCACTCATCCAAGAACCCCAAAGCCTAAAAGTACATTTGCCATCACAACATTTGACAAGTAATCGTCTAGTATCATTCTTAACAAAACATAATTGATAACCATTCGCGACAGCATAGTTACAAAGCATGTGTTTCAATTGCTTAGGACTCTCAAACCTCATACCTAAAACAGGTTCCTGCTCCTTCCAATTGAGCTTATCATTGAAAATGTTTGGCAATTCGGGATAAACATCTTCATTGTCACCCATGTCTTCTTCGAAAAACTCACCTGCACCTGCTTTCTCACCCATCTCTACCCGAGTCTCATTACCCTTTATAAAAAAATGAGGCTTCTGATGGTCATCCTCATCGCCATCGACATCCTCATCCTCGTCGTCATCATCGCCACCATTCTCTACCTCATCGTTTGTGTCACCCACATCCCGATACCCTGGTGCAACTTCCTTAACCAGTCCTGCACCATCAAGTACTTCTTCCTCAATGTTACCAACAAACTCCTCTTTGTGTTCATTCAACCATTCCTGTATGTTACTATCCCCAAAATGGTCTACATACATAGGGAGTATAACACCACATTCATATGCAATTTCAATGAAGCCGTAATAATCGGGGTCATTGCAAATTAGAGTCAAACCTTTTGGAAAATCAATATCAGGTTGGAAGTAATAGAGCTTCTCACACTTTTCCCCAGTGAACCTTTCGATGAACACAACACACCCATCCTTGTCCATTCCTGCGAAATCGATGTCTGAAAACCTTTGAGTAATTCCACCGGTGTAGCGTATGGGGTTTCTGGTGAACATTCCTTGGAAGTGGACATCTACTTGTAAGAATATGGGTTTCATGCTTGAGGATTCAGAAGCAGCTCACAAAAAAGGGTTTACTGATGAAGTGTTGAACAGTGGATGTAAAAGGGCTCTTTTATAAAGCATATACCGACATTACGAAGGAGGCGACTAATTAATGACATGGCATTAGACGAAAGTCACAGTCAGCATCCGATGTGGTGTTAGTAGAAGGATGTGGACTTAAAATGACCGGCTAACCCCATCAAAATTGAAATAAGGACTTAATCGACCCGACAAAGAGTAATTCGTTCCCTTATTAAGCTACAAAATAAGTTAAGTGGCTAAATGGGTCAACCCTAGAAATATTATAGGGCCTATACGTCATTTTCCCTACTATTTATGTAGTTATGTATTATTGCAATTGAATTTAGTTGCAAAAAGTTTATTGGCACAAGATAGGGGTGTAAATAAGTCGAGCCGAGCCGAGTATTGTCAAGCTCAAAGCTTGACTCGCCTAAAATACTCGAGCTCGAAGCTCGACTCGAACTAAATTGAAGCTCATACTCAACTCATGAAATACTCAATACTATCGAGCTCGGCTCGTGAGGTCGGTTTGGCTCGACTAAAATTGAAAAAAAAAAAAAAAAAAAAAAAAAAAAAGTTAAAATCATCTAAAATTAAAAACATTTCACATGTTTTTACTTTCTTCAAAAAAACATCACAATAAACCATCTAATGTCAATATAGCATCAACTATCTATGTCATTGTAGTTTTCATACATCCAAAATACGAAAAAGAAACATTCTCAAAAGTTTTAAAGTGCAACTTAACTACTTACTTCGTAACCGGTGCCTGAAAGCTAATAATATTGAAATATTTTAATAATTTAAAAGTATATAAATGGTAAAAATTTAATTTTATAAATACTCAATTAAGTTCGCGAGCTTACTGAGCCGAATATTTTACTACTCGATCTCGGCTCGATAAGTTACTCAAGTAGCTCGAGCTTGAGCTCAACTCGATTAAAATCGAGTTGATTTCGAGTATTTTCCGAGTCAGGTTCGAGTTTCTCGTGAGTTGTCTCGTCTCATTTACACCTCTAGCACAAGATAGCAAAGTAAATAAATTAGAGGTGTGTAATAGAAAAACCCATGTATGAACGGTAAAAGTCGGACGAATATTATATATAGCAATAATATAAGGACCAAATCAGTAATACCAAAAAATAATTATGGTCATATTGTGAAGTGCCAAAAAAATCACTATTCGTATCAACAATGTAATTTAAATATGTATATTAATATAAACTAGATTATAACCCGCCTAAAATGCGGGAACACATAAAAGTACAAAGAATGTAATTTGAATATGTATATTAATATAAACTAGATTATAACTCGCGTAAAACGCGGAGAACATATAAAAGTACAAAGAACTGGTACAATAATTAAAAAAATAAATAAAAAATAAGATAAAGTGATAGAAATAGAATTAGTGTTATTGGTAACATTGAAATGTCTTAAAAAAACAATAAAATATATGAATATCTATAATCTTTGTAGGGCCTCTTTGTAGAAAAAAAAATTGTTTTATTAGTTGGACAACCTTCATCGTCAAATATAAGTAACTTCAAACATTTTTTACTTATGACGTGAGAACGGCATATAAGTAACCATAAGTGAAGACCAGTCCACACAGATATAATTCAACATTTGATAATGAGTGAATCAACAACATATAATCTCCTTTATTTTTAACCATAACAAAATTACTTGTTTCCTTGATAATGACTGAATCAACCAACATATAATCTCTTTGACCGGAAGGGCTCTAGTTTTTCTTCCACTTGCATGTATGCTTCCCCAAAAGGAGGCTAGATAAAGTAACTGGCGGTAGTTTGGTAAAGTGCTTCTGTTTGCGGATTTTTAGTAAAATTGTTCGCTAGATCATAACATGTGTACTATATTATTGTTGGTTGATATAGTAAAACAACATAAATATTATAAAATTTATAATTATTGATTGTACATTCACAAATATACAATTTATTTAAACAAAATTCAAATCTTTCAAATGCATTGGAATTAGAAAGGAATTCAAATATATAGTTTAGGCAAAAACTAAAATAGAACTTTGAATGACAATATTGTCAAAATTAACCTTTATTGGGTTTTTGTAAATTATTATGTGTAATAAATATTTATTTTAAAATAGATTATAAACATATATGTATAAATATTTATAGAGATATCTAATCATATATAGTCAAATTATAAATCACATAAACAAACAAAATCAACAGATTTTAAAAGAATGTGTTTTTAGGGGTCTAGTATGAATATGAAGTGGCATATATAGGAAAATTATGACAACATAACTAAAATCACTTATTTATTTTATACACCGTTCTAAAAATAGAAGCAATAAAAAATAGAATTAACAATAAACAAAGCAATTTGATACCTACTGACTTACATCAATTAAATCATACAGTTTATTCACTATATTAATCATATTACCGAATAAAAAAATCGAGATCATATTGTTACAATTGAGACCATAAAACAGATCAATGAAAAATTTATGAGGACATCATTAAAAGTCCTCCCTTACGTTGAACAGGGCAAGTTACTTTTCCATTTTTAATTGAATGTTACAATTTATATGGATCCAAGTTAGACGATTTAGCTACGATAAACCTCTGTCATAGTTTTATAAAAATCAATCTAACAATGACCAGAAACTTGTGCAATCTATTAATGTCAAATCAAATAACATATCAACAGAACCTTGTGCAATCTATTAATGTCAAATCAAATAACATATCAATGTAAATGATCACATAATCACATATATTAACCGGTTTTATCCTGGTTTACAAAAGATAGACTAAAAAAAACCAGTGACGCTGAGATAAATAAGAAGAAGTTACAAAAACCATTAAACTGAGATTTAATTACTAAGCATTTTCATCTTTGCATTACAATATTTTGAATTCAAATTTCAAAAATTTCCTAGCAATATAAGTAGAGTGTTAATTATAGCATTGTATTGTCAAAATTTCTTTATAAGGTCATTAGACTTTTAGAAACATAACATTGTAATATATTTTTTCCTTTATAACCAACTCCAATGTGGATATTAAGCAATAAAAATTATAAAAAGACATAACTAAAATACGTAAGATATTTTACTTTTGGTTCTCTGATAATTTTAGCATCCTACATTCTTTTAAAATGGACAAAAAAAATGAAATTGCATTCCCTGTTTTATAACAACTACCAAATTGGTCCCTCTTAACTGAAATTTACAAAAATGGTCCATGTTTTATAACTAACAATATCTATTTAATGAAATTTATCTAAATAGTTACTGTAACACAAAGTCACACACACATACAGTAACACAAACCTACATACACACATGAACAATAACACACGCACACAATATTTGTATTCGATAAGGCTCACCTAAAAATCTAAGTTAATGAAATAACGAAAGATAATTTCAACAAATTTACCATTTTGGGGCAGAAATTCTTGATGAGATAAAAAAAAGTATATGTAATAATCAATAGCTTCTAAAAAAAAATGGGAAAACAACAATAAAAATCTAAAAACAACAATAAAATTCAATGCAAAAGTTCTGGATCAACATATGAACTTATAATGTATTTTAGTTGAATGCTAATGAAGATTATGAATTTCAATCTATAGAAAAACTACCAAACACCCGATTAAGAATTCACATGATAAGAATTTAAGCAATTAACAACAAATACGTCATACAGAGATAAGGAGATAGGAAGAGAAACATACATCATATGCTTCATAGATGTGTTTATACTTAGCTTATGTTTCCTTCTTATTAGTAGGGTTCTTATCAGGATGCCACTTCATCGTAAGCTTCATGTGACCTTTCTTCAAATCATCGTTTTTAGCATTCTTATCCACTTGTATAATCTTGTAATAACCTACGCCTATGATTGTTTTTCATTTATTATGATTTATGATTGCTACAAAGATTGGGGTGTTCTGTTCTAAACCATTGCAATCACTGAAGTCATAAATAAATAAAAAAAAATCCCAGATTGTATCCAAAAAGTTATAAAAAGCCAGAAACCCCACCAAAAAGCAAGTTCCAATGCATTGTCTTTTAATCAGTTAAACACTAACTTTCAACTTCCAGTTAAACTTTTAGGTTATTTGTAACATAAACCAACAATTATAGCATTGAATTACAAGTTTTTACCTTTGTTAATCTCTCTTTCAGTTTCAAATCTTCAGCTGCTGTCAACTCCTCTTTTTCTTCTTTTGCTTTTGCTCTTCTCTCAGCTCGTATTTGTGCCATTTCTTTAAAGTAATCACTGTTCACAACGAACATCAAGTTTGCTCTGCTTCAATTTGGCTGTTTTATTCACCTTCAAAACCGAACACAAATTCACAATTACTCAAACGAATATGCAAAATACACTTTTCAATTTGGCCGAATGCACTCCCCTTTCTTTTGTTCATCTCCATGGAATAAATGAAAGACATGTCCCAGATAAAAAAGACGATAATTTTATGGTACAAAATGACATGAAAACATGTGATGCATATAAATCTAGTGCATACAATTACAAGCATAAAAGGAAAAAGTCTCATAATCACCTCTCAAATTCAGTTTATTTGTATATTATGATGCTAAAAAAAACAAGAAGATGATCATCAAGCATTAATCATTCGCTTCATCTCAGCAGTCCTCCGAGGATCTGGATCTTCATTGCTCTCTCAGTCAACACATGTTTGATTCTGCACATTGATTTCCTAACCTGCACCCACACATCACTTAACTTATTCAGAAAACAACACTTTATACATATAATAGCACCTGATTTATGGTGAAATAATAATAATAATAATAACCACCTTAGGTAGGTGTTCAGGATTAGGAAAGCGCAAGTTTTGAGCATGAAGCATCTGGTTGAGTCATGAGCAGGGGTGGTCCTACAGTGGGGGCAATTGCCCCCACAAAAAAAAAAAAAAAAGGGTTTTTTTTAAAAAATATATATATTTTAACCCTTCAAAATTATATATTTTTACTCATCAAAAAAATTGGCCCCGCTTAAAAAGTTATAAATTTTTTTTTGCCCCCTCTTCTTGGGTCCGCCCCTGATCATGAGCATGTTTTTTTCTTTGAGCAGGACATACCATAACTTATAGCTCTGAAGCCTTCCAGCTACGCCCTGAACAAAAACATGATTCAAATAGTATAATGAACTAAAAAGAATATATATATATATATATATATATATATATATATAAGTATCCTAAGAAACAGTATTCTTTATACTGAAGTTTAAATTATAAAATAAAAAAAATAGAGATGTATATACCGTAGACAACAGGTTTGTCCTCCTCTGGGTTTCTATCAATCTCAAAGAACTCCTCAAGAGGGTTATGTGTAGTCCTGACTCTACTACCAGCTGCAGCCCCAGCATCAGAAGCTTCTGATGTTGCAGTTGCAAAGAGTCTCCTTCCAAAAACTTGTGCCAAAAACATGAATGCTACATCAGATTTAACAAAATAATATTTAACTTTTATATGCTAACCATCCGATAGACTACACAGCTCGTGTCTCCCAACAATAGGGCTTTCACAGTTGTTTGTAGTTCACGATCTATATGAATTTAACCGAGCTTGCAACAAAGCCCCAAACGCAAAATTTGAACAATTTATCGAACAGTTGGCAGGCATAAAACCAGAACAAAAGGAAACGTATAGAAAATGTACAAAAGAATAGAAAAAGTAATATAAATAGACAATTGTAACGATACTCTGGTAAGGATATTCTGGTAAGGAATATGTCATTTGCTCCGATGAAGGTAAAGTTTTTGCGTTTATGGTGACGGCGAGGTAGAACGACAAGCATTAGTGACAGTGCTTGTTTAACTAAGAATAAACGTGATATGGTATGCTAATAGATAAACGTACCAAAATGAAATGGCGACCAATAAACTATTTGGATGAGAGTATACAATCAATCAGACTCTGAAATGGCGATGCAAAGACAGAAAGGAACACTTCGAGATCGGCTGCAGAGACACCCCCTCTTTGCTTGCTGTCGCGAGAAGAGGTGTACGAAGGCGGTGGAGATTAGAAGATGTGTCATCTTGGCTGATTGAAGTAAAGCGAATGCTTTGCTTTTCTTTCTTATCGTTAGATTGGAAGAAGACAGACAGGCAGAGACAGAGGAAATGAGGAACGCAAAGCAACATTAGCCAAAGGATTTTTGGCTGTAAGGATGACTTAAGCAAATAATCTAAAGGTCTACAATTCAAGATTGAAATGCAATAGATTGAAATGCAATGCTTTGATTTCTTAAATAAAGAATTTCAGATTCTCTTTTAATAATATTTAAGATAGTATTAAATATTGGTTTCGACTTATCAACAATATATTTTGATGATGTGATTAATTTTATATTTTGTTGAGATATCGGATCATCAATCAATTTAAGTTAATATACTAAAGTAGGTGAATCTAGTAAATGGAAATATATATATATATATATATATATATATATATATATATATATATATATATATATATATATATATATATATATATATATATATATATATATATATATATAAAAGGAGGGTGTATATTATTAGAATTTAAAGTGAATATAAGGGGAGGAAATGTAAATATAAATCAATTAAATTAGGTGGATGTTTGTCAGGATCTAAATTTTTAAGATCTGAATTTTTAAGAGGTTTGAATTTCTAAAAGCATCTGAATATTTAAGATCTGAATTTTAACATGTTGTTTTGTTGAAACATTTGAATTATTGTGCTAAACTATAAAAATGACTATTATACCCTTATATATTACTTTTGCTGAATTTAAAATTTATGTTTATAAAATAAACAAATCAACTTCTTGAGTAATTATATAAAAAATATAAACGCAAAAAAAATCCAAAATTTAAACATAAGTCAAAATTATAACACAAATTCAAATCAAAATGAAGCTTTTACCCGTATAAACAATTTCCTTCCTGAACATTAAATATCAACAGATTTTAGCAAAACACGTAATATTTACAACAAAATAATAAAAATGATAGAAAGAATAACAAGCCAAAATAAAAAATTCCACCACCACGTCCTTCAAAATAATCCAGAATTCAACAATAAAAATTTTGTTTTAATTGATTCATCAACGCCATTAATGGAAGTTTGATTAATGTTTTACCCAATGTAGATGGTTAATTCATTAGTTTTCTTGGTATTAGATTAAACCTAAGCACTTAAAATCGGCGATTTCCAAGTGAGATATCGGTTATCGGTACTTTTCAAAATAACGGTGTCAAATATCGGTCCAAAATATCGGACTGCAAAAATCGGTGATATTTACAGATAGGGGTGTAAGTGAGCCGAGCTACTCGTGAGCTACTCGGGATCGACTCGTTAAAAGCTCGACTCGAGATCGAATTAAACGAGCCCGAGCCGAGCTCGAGCCTAAATATGAGGCTCGTTTATTAAATGAGCTCGAGCCGAGCTGAAATTAATGGGCTCGCGAGCCTAAACGAGCTTAAACGAGCCTATATATATATATATATATATATATATATATATATATATATATACACACACACACACACACACACATATATATATATACATATATATATATATATATATATACACATATATATATACACACACATAGAGGCTCGTTTAGGCTCGATTAGGCTCGCGAGCCCACTAAATTGTTCATGAGCCGAGCTCGAGCTTCATTTTAAGGCTCGAATCGAGCTCGAGCTCGAGCTCGAGCTTCCTCAAATTAAACGAGCCGAGCTCGAGCTTTGTCAGGCTCGGGCTCGGCTCGGCTCGTTTACACCCCTATTTACAGACGATTTCCAGTTGGGATATCGGTTGAGTAATTTTACTTGCTTTTTTTTAGTGTAAAGTCATGGTCTTAAGTCTTATGGACTTAACTTAACTAAACCTGCTATTATGTTAAGTACTTAATTGTTAGTTTTAGGTCATAGACTCATGTTTTAAGTATTAATCAATATTATTGTTATGTTGATTGTTACATACTTAAGTGTTAACTTGCTAGTTTCTATAGGTTTGATCATGTTGATGTGTTAAGTACATAATTCTTAAATGATGATGATGATATTAGAGTTGATGTAGATGATCTAGATAAAATAATTGGATGTCTTGCTTGATGTGGACTTGGAGGAAGATTCCATGGCTTACATAAGGTTATGTTTCAAACATTAACAATTTTGAATTTTGACTTTTTATATTACTTTTATATATGTTATATGTTTATATATATATTAATTATGCATGATATAAAAATATCGACATCTCACCGCGATAACCTATATCCCAAATAGCGACCCTTGACCAATATTTGATTTTGGACCGCTATAACTGCCTAGGATTGAACAAATGATATCCAACCACCTCTATTTCCATTTTTCTCATCAAGAGGTCCAACTATTGTCTTTGTTGGAATTCATGCTCATATCTACAACAATCTGGTTCAATTGGTCAACCATCCTCATATAACTCCACCTACAGATACTTGCAGCACCAAAAGTGTTTGCACAATCCTCTAGACCATTAAAGGACTTCAAATGTGTAGATGAACACAACCTTACTTCTTGTAAACTCAAACACCTATTTGAATAGAATGGCAGTGTGGCTCACATACACACACACACACACACACTCTCTCTCTCTCTCCCTCTCTCTCTCTCTCTCTCTCTCTCTCTATATATATATATATATATATATATATATATATATATATATATATATATATATATATATATATCTCTTAGGGATATCAACTGGAGCATTGTGCTTCATCTCCATCGATGGTTAATATCGACACTAACGTTGTTGGATCATATCAACTAAAAAAAACTCACCACAACCGTTGTTGCTGATAGGTTTTATGTAAAACAAAAAATCTTAAGTTCACATGTAACCTAAATATCTATGTTTTCACTATTGAACCTATAAGTATGAACATAAAAATAAGACACCCTAGAAACCCTAGGCAATTTTCGAAAAACACAAAGGGTTTTAGGATTACATACCTTGTTGTATATCTCATGGAAGCTATCACAACAAATGTCGTGCCTCTAATGGAATCACACCAAGCTAGCAAGAAGATTACTTGAAGGAGGAGAGGGGACGTATAAATTTTTGCTCCTCCCTTGGAATGATCATTGTTCGACCTGAAACTCCAACTCATATGGACGATTATCTGCATAACTCTTCTACCGACTCTGAGCTGAGTGCAATCTTTGCCTAATTTGATGGATGAGTTTTGACATTTGAAGGACTACCTCGGTCTTTCCTAATACTCTATGACCAATTTCTCCCCAACATAATGAGGTACGACACTTCCTCCCATAAAGAAGCTCGAAAGGCAGTGCATCGATATTTGAGTGATAGTTATTGTTGTAAGAAAACTTAGCTAAGGGAAGGTAGGAGTCCCAGCTCCCACCGAAGTCTGTGACATGAATTATGAACATATCATCAAGTGTCTGAATAGTCTACTCACTATGACGGTCAGTATGTGGATGATAAGCAGTGCTAAAATGCAACCTTATACCCATTTCCCCATGAAACTTCTACCAAAAACGATAAATGAACCGAACATATCGATCCGATACAATGGAGACTAGAATACCATGCATACCAACATTTCGTGCACATATAAATCGGCTTGGGCAAAGAACTCTCTTGAATGGCTAGAAAGTGGATGCTTTTGTTCAGACGGTCCACAATAACCCATATCACATATAATTTCTTAGTCGTCCGGGGCAACTTGGTGATGAAATCCATGGTGATGTGTCCCCATTTCCACATGGGGACCTCCAATGGCTGCAGCTTGCCATGTGGCCTCTGGTGCTCGGCCTTGACCATCCGACAGGTCAAGCACCTCTCAATATATCATACAATCTCTCTCTTCATGCATGGCCATCAATAACTAAACCTTAAATCCCGATACATCTTGGTGGCTATAGGGTGTATCAAAAACCAAGACTTTTGCGCCTCCTCCAGTATAGTATGCTTGACCCCACCAAAGTCTGGCACCTAGACCCATCCATATCGCTCAATAATCCACGACTGTCAGTGGCGAATCTGTCAACCTCATCCCTGAGTCTATCCTACTTCCAATTCTCCTTCTTGACTCCCTTGGCCTGAGCCCCCTAATCCGACTCTCAATAGAGGAACTTGTAACGCCTCCAGATTCGGACTAGTCAATTTAGAGACAATGAACGTCAAAAATAACTTTTTGATGGAAGATTATTCATAATAAATAATCTCAAACAAGTTATATTATATATCATAAGGGTTTTGTACATATAAAGAACGCCGAAATCCGAGTTATAACGAAGAAGTTATGACCTGTTGAAGTTTTACGGCTAAACCGGCACGACACCGCGTAACGTAAAAAAATGAATTTTTGATAAACTACTTTTTAGCCTTAGAGATATAAATGAAATTTTTAGTATACGTTAACTGGAAGCGTGCATAAAAAGAATGTCCAAATCTGACTTCGTATGAGGAAGTTATGAATTTTCTAAGATTTGGCATAACGGTGTGCAGTCCAGAATTCAAATTTTAGATCGGTCGATTTTTAGCCAAAATAATTTAAACGGGAAATGAAGATATCGTTAATAGGAGTTCAAAAATAAAAAGACAGACGAAAATGGAGCTTGTATGCGAAAGATATGGACAAAACTTAGACCTTACTCTTTGAGCAAGGCGAATTCGATACAATTTTGTAAATCTGAAATAAAATAAGAATTAGACGATAGGGTCTAAATGAAATTTGTAAGACTCATAAATACCAACGTGTGGATATAAATAACGTCGATAAAAGAGCTCGTATGTTAAGGATATGGACGAAACTTAGTCCCTACTCTTCGAGCGCGATAAATTCGATATAGTTTTGTAAACCAGAGATAGAATGAGAATTAGCCGACGAGGTCTAAATGAAAGTTGTAGTACTCATAAATAACAACGTGTGGATATAAAGAACGTAGAAAACAGATCTCGTACATATAAGATATGGACGAAACTTAGGGCCTACTCTATGATCAAACCCCTATAGATAAAGGATGAATTCTTCATATTTTCTTCACACCATAAACCTTTGTTTCTCTATCTAACTTCTCTCTAGACTCCCAAAACTGATCTAAATCCCTAGTAACCTCAAGGTGCTATAGGAAAGC